CAGATTCTTCTACGTTTTGAAGCACTTTAATATATTACTGATCATTTTAATTTAAATAAAATTAAGTAAGTCCATTCTACTGGGAACTGAAAACTTAGTGCTATTTAATCCAATTCTAATTCTGACTCACAGAAACCCTACGGGGCGGGGGGAGTAGGAGTAGAACTGCCCCAGAAGGTTCCAGAGGCTGCTAGACTATCAATGTTAAAAGCAGAGAGAAAGCCTCCCGTTATCCTGCAGAGTGACTGATGAGTTTGAACCACCATCCCAATGCATTCCCCACTATGCTACCAGGGCTAAAGAACTGTGATAACTGCCAGAGAATAAAGTTAAAGACAAGAAGTAGTCAACAATGAGCCTCAAGAGGTGGACAGGAGCCAGGTCATGGGGCCGTATTTGGCACATTATTTGGATCATTAACTTTAGCCTACAGCAGTGTTTCTCAAAGTGTGATCTGGGGGTCACTGGCAAACCTGGAAACTTGTTAAAAATGCAGATCCCTGGATTTCAGCCAGAGTCAGAAACATTAAGGGTGTTGTTTAGGAAAGCAGAGTCTGGGAATTCTCCAACCTCTTAGGAACTAAAGTTCCAGGTTCTGCATTTTAACAAGTTCCTCTGAGGAGCTCTTGGGAGCTTGAGGAGTTCTAAGCAGAGGAGTGGTGTGACCAGATGTTCACTTTAGATAGACCACTCAGGTGGGTACCTGTGTCTGGAAGATTAGAGAAGCCAAAACTCAGCAGACTGGCAGGACCCCAGATCATGTTCTTCAATTTTATAAACACTCCTGTCCAATACAATGTAATTAATACATGTGGCCAAAGTATTATGTGTTTAAAAACTGTAACCTTAGCTACATGATCTTTCCCAAGAAACAATAACAACAAAATCCAAGACACTCCACTCTCCCTCCAAAACACTAAAAAGCTGAAAGCGGAAATACTTAAAAATTCAGTAATAGAGGAGACTGCTAAATGAAATTATCCTATCCCGTTATGAAGATAATCAAAGGGGGGAAAAAAGCTAAAAATGGAAACCATTAAAGAGGATTGCCTGTGGGGTTCTGAGACTTGAGGGGAAGCGGGCATGGGGTATAGAAATTGCTGACTTCTTATTTGTTACATATTAAAAGAGTTTTTAAATAAAAGTTTTCATTTGGATAAAAAGGTATGTTTCCAATGCCAAATCTTTATCCAAATCAGTCTTGATTCAGCTTCAGGTCTAATCTGTAAGTATCCTGGCCATCCTCACTAGTAACATTGACAAAAATGCCCCAATTCCCAACAGGTATTATCTCTGATGATGCAAAGAAACGAAACTAATAACTGTATTAGCCCTTGCAAGGTCAGGATCTGATAGAGGTGAAATCTGTGATTAGAAATCCTGTATTCACATGAGGCACCACTGGCCAGTCAGGGTGGAAATAAAGCAATATTTAGAAATAAAGCAATGAAGCCCCAAGCCCACTGCCATCCAGTCAATTCCGACTCCGAGAGCCACTGCGCAGGGTTTCCTAGAGTGTAAATCGTACGGAAGCAGGCAGCCTCATCCTTCCCCATCACCCAGTCCACAGTACCAATGTTTACCTAGTCTGAAGCATGTAAATCTATTCTTTATATCGTTTATCAGCAAAGAAGTATTTCTTTTAATTCTTTAAGCTTCCAGTGAGCTAAAGGCATTAAGACTTCAGAATAAAAAAACAGACTGGCACTCCATCATTCATCTGACATTTGCATTTTCACAAGTAACCTGACAACACTAGAGACAAGAAAGCAGCCACCATCAACACAACAAAGACAATGCTTTAATATAAAACTTCAGGTTACCATGACACTACAGACATAGCAGTCAGGGTGCCAGAAGGCCTTTATTTTATGTCCCATCCGCAATTCATGTATCTTAGAATCTCTGACTCCACCAACATAGCAAGTACTACAAAACCCTTCCCACTACTATGACAGAATCCCATCTTAGAACATGGGCTTGTCTTGATCTCTTGTCTAAGCTCCACCTAATATTCCAGTCTTAGTACTGGTCTAATATCCACAACAGACTCAAATCAATAAGGGATAATCTAATAAATCGGAATAACAACAAACACATCAGAAAACAATTCTACTGTCTGGCAATTAAAAAAGTGTGTTTTTTACAATCCAGGAGTCTTACTTCTAAGTTTTTTTATCCCAAATATCTGCTGTTGTTAGGTGTTGTCCAGTTGGTTCTGACTTATAGTGAGCCTAAGTACACCAGAACGAAACACTGCTCGGTCCTCACAAGGATTGTTTTAACTAGCAATAGACAAATATTGACCTAGCAGAGATTATCTTCAGATGTTCAGAAAGGAACACTAGGTTTGGCTTTTAAAGACTTCTCAATCTGCCTACCTTTTCAAAGTCCTTATGAGTAGCCATCTAGTACAGAGGTTGAAGAGTTAAACCTCACTCAGATGCCACCCATTTTCTTGAGGCCTTGAAAAAGTTATCAGTTTCCAAATGCCAGCATGAGAAAGGATCTTGCAGGCTATCTAGTCCAACTGTAGTGTTTCACATACTGAAGTAGGTGAAAGCACTCTGAAAACTGGCAGGGCTACACAAAGAGTATCATTTTCACCTATGAGGCCCAGGGAAGTTAGAGACTTAGATGAAGTCACTTATACTGAACTAGGACCTAGAACTCTGAAGCTCTAGACCCCTATCTCACGCCCTCAACATGCCACATAAATGGGTTATTTTAAATACAGTGGATGGTTTCCATACAATCACCTGAAGAATATATTTATGCATATATGGCATTTGATAGTTGCTACGAAGTAAACCGGTAAGAATTGAATTGTGTCCCTTGCAAAATTTTAATTGAAGTCCTAATCTCTGATACAAGTGATTGTTAATTGGTTTGAAAATATTCTTTGCAGATGTTACCCAGTTCATCTGACTTCATAGTAGAGCAGAATGGGTCTGAATACCATCTGAGTGGTATATAAATGTGAACAGCCTCAAGAAGCTGCATCCCTAAATTAATGACTTACAAGGGTTGCCAAGAGCCACCAGAAGCCAGAACAGAGGTACTAGACAATTGCTCTCTCAGAACTCTCAGAAGGAATCAGTCTGGCCAAAATCCTGATTGAGACTTTTTTTTTTGCCTCCAGAACTGAGACATAACACATTTGTTTTTATTAAGTTGTCCAATTTGTGGTATTTTTGTTATGGCAGCCTTAAGGAACTAATTCATACACCTTGTAAAATTAGGAGTACAACACAAAGGGCACACCTCTTTCCCAAAATTGTACTTCTTTCTGAAATTATCATTTTCTGCCTTACTCACAATTTCACCCCCTAACACACACTTGAGGGCAGCGGTAGTTTTGTGGCAGAACTCTTGGTCACTCCTCTATGGTATGGAAGACCCATGTGCACTTCCTGGCAAATGCACCTCAGTGCAGCCACCAGCAGTTTGTCAGTTGTTGTTAAGTGCTGTGGAGTCGATTCCGACCCATAGTGACCGTGAATAGGGTTTCCAAGGAGCAGCTGGTGAGCTTGAACCACTGACTCTGCAGTTCAAACGACTTTGTAGTCTGACCATTAGCCCTTGTTGTTGTTATGTGCCATGGAGTCGGTTCCAACTCATAGCGACCCTGTACAGGGTTTCCGAGGTTGTAAAGCTTTACAGGAGCAGAAAGCCTCATCTTTCTCCCACGGAACAGCTGGTAGCTTCAAACTGCTGACCCTTACATTCGCAGCCGGATTGGTAACCACTAAGCTACCAGAGCTCCTTGACCATTAGCCCTGGAGGCATGTAAATTGCTATAATGCTAACTAGGTTTCAGCAAAGCTTCCAGATTAAGGCTAGGAAGAGAAGCCAAGCAATTTACTTCCAAAAATCAGTCAATGAAAACCCTATTAGTACAGTTGCACTGTGCATAGGGTCTGCTGAGGGGACAGCAGCTAACAACAGCACAAACAGAACTAACCCAGTCTCATGCTCAAACTGTTGATTTACTATTTTAATGATGCAAGTGTTCTCTTATACATCAGTATCTTCAAACACTGTGGGAAAGGAAGCAAACCTGCATCCAGTACTTTCATCAAATGGATGCAAGAACCCTATTCAATGAACTGATCAAAGAATCGAGGTATTTAATGCTGTAAGTAGATTCAGTTCAGTAAAGAGGCTTTACAATGTAAATACATGCTTCTACAAAATAACTCTGGGGAAGATTACAAACATTATTGTTAGAACAAGCTAAATAAGCTTGTACTGAACTATTTCCAAAGTCTTGTGGCCATCAATTGCAGACGCTTACTGGAGATTTTTCTGGGCAGATAGTTCACAGCAAGATAGGTTACGCTTCTCCTAAAATTAGTAGATGGGGGCAAAAGAATCAGAAGTTTCAAAAAACAGGGGAGGGAAGAAAATTTTCAGAATTCCTTTTCTTGGATGGATTTATATACTTTGCAAAGATATTTATATCTATTCCAAGTAGAGTCTATTGTGGAGTTATTGCTACATTATAGACATCCTTCTTTAGTTCACACATAATCCGGTTTACCTGCCCCTTGTCTGACCTCACCACTTACTAACTTCGACTCAAGGGGAATTTTCTCTCTTGCTTTATCCCTGCCTACAGGTACAGGTGCTTTAATAGACCCAGTGGTAGAAAGAACCCAGTCTGATCACCAGTCCTGCATGGAAAAGGCTCTGCCACACAGGCTTCCGGGAGTGCCCTGACCTCGCAATCCTTCCGAGTAAAAGGGGGTGTGTCCGCGGTACCCGCACCCTTTCCCGTCGCCCGCAGCGACGCCCCCGGACCCCTTTTTTGGGGTGACCTAGGGCTCTGTCTCTAAAGCTCCCGCCTGTTGATTTAAGGTTGCCCTGCTCTTTTCGAACCTCCCTTCCGGCTCTTCGTAAAGAGACCGTGCGGGTGGCGCCGGCACCCCCTCTCCGAGACCACCCTCGTACTCCTCGGAAGGCTTCCCCGAGCGCCTCATCTTGGCAGCCTGCGCTACCGGCGACCCTCTCTTCTCTGACACACAGGTGAGGGGAACGGGCTAGTGACGAGCCACAGAGAGTGGGGGTCGGCGAGCGAGGAGCCTGGGGAGAGGGCGTCCCCAGACGTCTCGCCAAGGGGGCGCGGCCGAGCCGGGGAATGGGCCGGGGCCGAGCCCCGCCACCCCGGCGGGGCCACTCGGCCGCGGGGACCCACCAGCTGCTTGAGGTCCTCCTCCGAGAGCTCCGCGTAGCGGTATCGCTGCTGTTCGAACTCGTAGCGGGTAGTTTTGGCTACCACTACCACCCGGGACGGGCGGAAGCCGCCGTCCGCGCGCCTGCCACAGCCCGCCAGCTCGCGCGGCTGTCCGTGCCCCAGGTGCCGCAGCCGCGCGGCGGGGCCTCCCGTGCCCGGCCCCCTCAGCGCCGCCCGGCCGCCCGCCACGCGACGACAGCTGCCCAGCAGGAAACCCCGGTAACAAGTCATCGTCGGCCCCGCTGGGGCTGCAGGCACCGGCTTCTGCCTCCGTTCCCCGCCGGGAGCAGTGCGCACCGCCCTGTCGTTCCTGCCTCTTAACTTCGCGCCGGGCGGGCAGAGGTTAAGAGCTGGGCGGTGCGTGGCCCGGGCGCGGGGGGGACGTGCCCAGACGTAGACGGAGGCGGGGAAAAGAGGCGATTGGCTTTCGGGAGAGCCCTGGAGAGGAAAAGGTGGGCGGGGAGGAGCGGGAGACCGCGGGCTGGTGGGTTTTGTTTGTTTGTTTAGGCGATTCCATCCACGCCTGCGCAGTTCCCTATTCGCCGCCTAGAGGGGGTCAAGCTCCTGCTCCGCCTCCTTCCCTGCGGCTTCTCTTCGCCCGCCCCCAGGGGAATCCTATAAACCAATCAGAGCCCGCTGCGGATTCGATGTGCGAAAAGCGACCGGGATTGGCTGGGGCCTAGAGAAGGCTGGAATTCTATTTGGCGTTGGAGCTGCCCTGAGGAATCCTTCAGAAACTGGTCGGAGGCAGCACAGAGGTTTTGTGTGTTTGGCGGGAAGGAATAGTTCCTCTTGCCTACTCTCTGAGTTATTGTTGTATTTCATTATTGTTCATCAAACTAGATCTCATGCCCTTTATTCGTTCATTTAATCATCATCTGTTGGATGACTGATGTGTTCAGTCCTGAACTAAGGGTTAAGGATATTGACCCAGAACCAGCCCCTCAATTTGAAGTCACTTAACAACATTTGGCCTGGTGTGGTGCTGTAGGATTAGCACTGGATTGCAAAGTCAGTTTGAATCTCAAGGTCAGCGGTTCAAACCCACCAGCCGCTCCTAGGAAACCCTATACCCGGTTGCTATGAGTCGGAAACTACTCCACGGCACTTAACAACAACAATTAATCTGCGAAGCATGAAGTTGGCTGTTCGAGTCCACCAGCTGCTTTGTGGGGAGTGGGGCGGAAATGTGGCTTTCAGCTCCTACAAAGATTTACAGCCTCGGAAGCCTTATACAGGCTCTTATGAGCCGGAACCCACTCCACAGAACTTAACAACAAATGTGGACTGAAACGCAGACCCCTTGTTCTGACATGATGGAAAATAAGAGCAGCCGAGCGTTAAACCAAACCCTTCTGAGCCCAATCCTGACCCCTGGGCCCCTAGGGGAATGTGTGTGCATCCTGGAGGATGGACAATCATAATGTGTAGGGGAATCCAGCCAAGAAACTTTTCCTGGATGGGGAGAATGGAAGCTTAGAAATACCGGTAATTGGTACCTTTGTCCTATATAGAAGTAGTTTGCCTTCTGAAGAATATTTCCGGAAACTAGTGAAAGCAAAGTTCTGGCTTTAAGAGGTTAAGTAGCTAGGGAGGCCGAAGACTGTTGGAATAGTGAGAGGTGATAAGGGCCTGGAATAGGGTAGTACGGAGAACATCAGAAAGAGATTTATTTGAAAGGGGGAATCACTGGCAGTGCACATCCTCTTGTTTATGCTTCTTGCTCCTCCGATCTGCTTGCTTTGGCACTCACTTTGCCCCTTTGTAGTGCTGGCATTACCAGGGCTACTAACTATAGGACTTCAGGCGGGTTACTTCATCTTTCTGGAAGGCAGATTCCCCATCTGCAAAGAAGGGAGTTGGACTAGAATAATTTTAAAGGCTTACCAAGCCCATCAACATTGGTTAATATTTATTCAAAGCCCATGTGCACCAGGTAATATATTCGACTAGGGAAATAAATACACAATGGAGTCTGATAGGGGTCTGCTTTTAGAAGGCCTCTGATCTCTTCCTTGGACCCGGAACTTTGCCTTGCAGTGGCTGCTGAATAGGGACTGTAAGCACAACTCTTAATTTCTGCAGAGTGTGAATTGTTGTTAGATTCTGTCCAATCAGTACTGACTCATAGGGACCCTATGCACAACAGAATGAAACACTGCCCAGTCCTGCACCAACCTCACAACCACTGAGCCCATTGCTGGTGCCATTGTGTCAATCCATCGCATTGGGTCTCTTCCTCTTTTTCACCAACCCTCCACTTTATCAAGCATGAATATCTTTCTCCAGGTCTGGTCCCTTCTGATAATATGTCCAAAGTATGAGAGACGAAGTCTCCCCATCCTGACTTCTAACTATACTTCTAACAAAGATTGATTTGTTCGTTTGGCAGTCCATGGTAGTTTTAATAATCTTCTCCAACACCATAATGCAAATGCATCAACTCTTCTATAGTCTTCCTTATTCACAGCTGGACAGGTTTCAGATGTGCTTCCAGACTAAGGCAGACTAGGAAGAAGGAGAGACTAAGGGGCATGAGTTACTCATCTATAACTTGAACCTCTTTAAGATTCCTACTATTCTAACACTTTATAATTCACTAGGCATTGTTGTTGTTCACTGCCATGTCATTTTTGACTCAGCGATGGAGGAATAAAAAGAACTTAAGATGACATAGGTGTGAAGCCCAGCTGATTGGGAAAATATTCATTGTTCCATTTAACAGAGAAAAAAAATGGATAAGAGAACCTGTTTCGAATCAGTCTATGACTTTTGTGCATATAAAAATTCAGACCTTTTTTCTTCCCACTTTATAGATAGAAACTCAAGGGTTGGCTTTTCCCCATTTTCAGCTACAAACATACCTACATTGACACCCAAGTTGCCATAACCCTTTGTACATGGCTGTTTTGATTCCCATCTCCTACTGCCATCAATTTATCTTCTTTTCACCCTGCCCACTGACTTTTACTCTTCAGTATTTAAACAGTATTTAAAGATGTCTGTGACATCTTAAAGAGGTGGGGTGGTGGGGAAACAAAGTCTTATGTGGCTTTTTATCATGTTGTATATCTTCCCTTTATAGCTAAGATTCTTGAAAGAGTAGTAAGCTCATCTTGGCCACAACCCTACCTTTTCATTCCACTACCCATATAATGGAGTCCTGGTGTGGTGCTATAGGATAAGCACCGGACCACAAGGTTGATTTGAACCACAAGGTCGGTGGTTCAAACTCACCAGCCACTTCTCAGAAACCCTATACAGGATCACTACAAGTCGACAGCCCTTAAAAACAAACCAAAATAGAAAACCCATGTAATAATCTAGCTTTTCTCCACCACTTCACTAATTCCTCTTTCCAAGGTTATCAATGATCTGCTTGTAAACTCAAAAGACATTTTACAGCCCTTTAAATTACATGATCTCTCTCTCTCCAGCATTTGACATGGTCAGCTCTTGAAATCCTTGAGTCTGTCTCCCAACATAGCAGTTTCTGAGTTTCCTTCTGTCTCTCTGACCGTTCCCATCTCTAAGATCTATGCTTGGCTCTCGTTTCTTTCTATTGCTGCACACCCTCCTGGGTGGTTTCACACAGTATTGTGTAATGGAAAGAGTTTGGGCTTTGAAATTACAAAGACCTTGGTTTAAATCCCAGCTTTACCACTTATCAGCTTTGTGAACCTTGAACTGATTGCTTAATCTTTCTGAGCCTATTTCTTCATTTACAAAACACAATAGCTATGGTATGAAGTTGTAAATATATGTAGAAATGTCTAGTTGTATGCCTATCACCAAGAGAACACTTGGCAAATATTCATTGTTTTCCCCTTCCATGACTTCAACTACTATCAGCATCTGTATTATCTTTCCCCTGAGCTTCAAGTCCTTATTTCTTGCTTTCTGGAGTCTTACACATACAACAGATCTTAATGGAACTCAAACTATAGTTGAGTGCCTTCTATGGGCCAAGCACCCTGCAAAGTGCTAGAGATAAAAAGAAATCCCTGTTTTTGAGGAGCTTAAAGTCAATGTTATGAGAAAATGTACACACAGGGTGCTATAGGAATTTACAGGAGCAACCTAAGAGGAGTTAGGGAAGGATTTCTGGAAATGTCATAAATTAAAATGTACTGATCAGAATCAGCAAGAATGAAAAAGGAGACAGCATATTTAACAAAATAGTAGTTCTAAATTTTAGAGGATTTGGAAGGTGGCAGGCATAGCACTCTGGGAAGTGAGGATTGAGGCAGATAGCGAAAAGGCCATGGACGGTTTCCTATCCGAATGTAGGAACTCGCTTTTATCCAATATATGATGAGAAACCACTAAAAGAAATAAGGAGAAAATGATATGTATGTTGTTATTAAGTACCATCAAGTCAGTTCTAACTCATAGCAAGGCTTTATATAGGGTTTCTCAGGAATGGGTGCTGGGTTTGAACTGCTGACCTTGTGGTTAGCAGTCTAGTGCTTATTGTGCAGTGTCACACCAGGACTCTGTGATATGATTGTCATTGTTAAGTGCCGTAGAGTCAATTCAGACACATAGTGACCCTGTATGGGGTTTCCAAGGAGCAACTGGCAAAGCCTGCCAACCTTATGGCTCAAAATTCAGTACTGATTGATTGTACAGCATCACTCCAGGGGTCCATGACTATATACAATTAATAAACAGACATTGCTTAAACACAGGAGGAAAGATATGAACAGGTACTCAACCTTATTAGAAATAAAGGGAAATGCGAAGTAAGGCCATACGAAATACCATTTTGTATCCAGTTGATGAAGTCCTGGTATAACGCTGTAGGATAAGCACTAGACTGCAAGGTCAGTTTGAACTGCAAGGTCAGTGCTTCAAACTCACCATCCGCTCCTCAGAAACCCTATACAGTCGGAACTGACTCAACGGCACATAACAATAACAACAACATCCACTTGATAGTTTCTTTTGAATTAGTTTAGATTCATGACAACTTTATGTATAACAGAATGACACCTTGCCCAGTCCTGCACCATCTTTCTGATCATTAGTATGTATCCATTATTGCAACTAGTGTGTAGGTAGGGACTCCAAAAGAAGAGGAGGACTGATCTTGCAGCAATCTATTAGGTAATGTTGTTGTTAAGGGCCATCGGTTCTGACCCATAACAACCCTGTGTAGGATTTCCTAGGAGTGGCTGGTGAGGTTTGAAAACTGACCTTGCAATTCAAACCACTTTTGCAGTCCAGTG